AACAGAAAACCCTTTTGAGTGGGAAACAACGACCGACGGCTCCCGTACATGATCGTGTTGCCGTCGCCCAGCGCAGCGGACGCCAAAACCCGTGCACAGCCATTCCAACGGGCATGTCTACACAAAGACGCGGTGCTCCTGACAGATCGGGCGGTGATGAAAGAGGGGGAAGCGCCGAGTCGTCGGAGTGCGTGGCGCGTGGGGATGAGCATAACTTGAGTGAATGGGAGATGACAAAAAAAAACAAAAATGCCCAGTTGCTGCCCTACCGCTTCCCATAATCAAAAAAAAGAAAAAAGAAAGTGTGTGTGTGTGTGTGTGTGCATTTGTCTAAAAACAAAACATCACAACAACGCAAGGGCCCCATCGCTAAAGTTCAGAGCACACGTGCACGCAGCCCCCGTGACATGCCTCCTGGTAAAAAGGAGAACCAAGAAAGGAAATACACACAAACACACACACACACACATGTATATATTTATATATTCATTTGTTTATTCAGAAACAGTGAAAGAAATAAATAAAAATATAAAAAAATTTTGCATGTGTGGTGTTAAAATAAAAGGCTCAGAAATAAAAATAAACAAATAAATATAAATAAATAATAAAACATCCCCACTTCACAAAAAAATAAATAAATAAATAAACGGGCATAAAACAAATTTGTCCATCAAACAGCGTGGAGAAGAGAAAAAAAAAAAAAAAAAGCGCATCGCCGCCACCGATGGCCCTTCATTTTTATTCCCTCCACGACACCCTCCTCCTTCATACCTCCCCTCTCGTCACCGCGGGCCCACGACGATCGCAAACATCCCCCCAACCCCTCCTTCCCAAAGCCTCTTTTGTTTGTTTGTTTGTTTTTCTTTTTTCTTTTCTTTTTTGATGTTGTTTTATTTCTTTCGTCTTCCGCCCCGTCCCTTTCGCTGTTTTCCTTATGTTCCTGTTTGCTCACTGCTGTTTTCATGCAGAGTACAGCCGTCGTCCGTGCCGTATATAACGTGTGATTGATAAAACGCTGCGGTTTGTTTGTGTTCCCCCTTTCCGCCGGTCGTACGGCTGTAAATTTCCTCCACGTGTCTCCTCTGCCCGCATGAGGCAATGTATGCGGAGCACACCCCTTTCATTTATCCCGTCCGTACCTCTTTTTTCTTCTTTGTTTTTCTTTTTGGCTGCTGATGCATCAATCAGCAGGAAGAGGAAAAGAAAATAAGTGCCATTGCAGACATCCGCAGCGCGGCGCCCCTCCGTCGCCTCCTTTCTTTTTTGTTCGTCAAGGCAGCTTCTTGCTGTACACAAGCCTGCCCTTCTTGTACACCGCCTCAATCGGGGGATCAACCATCTGGTACACGACATGCTCCCATCGTGGGGCATGCAGCAGAACGACATCGGCCCACTTGCCCACTTCAAGGCTGCCGCAGCGATCACTCATGTTCAAACTGCCCGCCGCGTTAATTGTCGCAGCAACAAGTGCCTCCTCCACCGTCATGTGCATCAACACACACGACACATTCATCGTGTGTGGCATAGACAAGGAGTGTGCATTGGGGCAGAAATCGCTGCCGAGAGCCACAGGGACGTGGCCATCAATAAGTTTACGAGCAGGCGGTGGGGCAATGCGAAGGACATATGCCGTCATGGGGAGCAACACGGCAAAGGTCGGCCTTTTGCTCATGCAAGCAATGCCCTCGTCGCTAACGTGCTCCAGGTGGGAAACCGCCTGTGCCTCAAGCTCGCCGGCAAGCTCACCCGACGCGACGTATGACAGTTCGTCGCCGTGAAAATTAATCATTAGCCCTGATTTTCTTCCGGCCTCCAACACACGCCGCGACTGGTCATGGTCAAAGGCGCCAATTTCGCAAAAGACGTCTATATTCTGCACATCATTCCTCCCCTCGGCACGCTCCTGCATGACTGCGGGTAATTGCGCTTCAACGACGTCACGCACCGCCTCTTCCGCCGTCTTTCCTTCCGGCACCGCGTGGGCCCCGCAGAACGTGCTG